AGGACACTAAGTTACTAATACTATGAATAGACCAGACATTGGTAAGATTATACTAGTCATGTTGTGAAGGGATTTTCAGATACACTCAACTTCATTACTTGGTTTCAGTTTACAGGACTTCAAAAACCAGTTATAATTTCGGTCTTGATTTTAAAATATGAGAATTGTAGAACCCTTTTTTCCCTGCTCCCACTGATTTCATAATCTTACATCACTAGCTCTCACCACAGGGTTCATCTGGTGATCTGGTTCATTCAGTCTACTGAGATCCAAGAGTGGAACCCTGCAATGAGGGACACCAAATTGAAAATGAAACCAGAGATTTTAGTTAGTTACTATATTCACCCTTCAGGTAGAGTGGTAGTGACTGTTCTCCTGTACGGCTGAACTTGTTTGACCTTTTGAGAGAGAGAGAAAAAAACTAACAATACACAACATCAACACAATGTCACTGAAAATTGAGATGCACAGAAAATTCTTGATAAAAGCAAACCTGTTTTTCTGGTTTATCCCCTGTTTTCTTGTGACCTTCCTGCCAGGCCTGTTTCTTGGTGGGTAGCGGTTTCTGTCTCTCCTTCCTTTGTTCCTTTCCCTCTCCCTCCTCCTTTCTCTCCCTCTCTCTTCCTCTCCACATTACTCGCTTTCAGTGGTGCTGTCTTTAGCTTCCCTGTAACGAGAGAGAGAAGGTGGGTTAGGTTTAAATGCAGACACTGTGTTTGTTGTATGTTCTTCAAAAGGCATTCAGACTGCTATCAGTACTTTGCCATCCTAAAAACAGAATTAGCAGTAAAAGAAACCTTTTTCTTGATTGTGTTGCATGCATTGTATATAGCTATATGCAGTTACCTGCAATTTAGAGTATAAATTTGGATCAACATAAGCCAGACCTGAGTCAATGTAGGAGTGTTTCTGCAGCAGTTGATATGTAGACGGCAGCAGGAGACTGGAGGTCGACCCTCCTACTCCGCCAGGCAGGAGCTCCAGAACAGACCTCTTCTTCCTCGGGGCGTGAGGCATACTAGACAGCCCTTGGCTACCCGTCTTTCTCTGTGACGACTCTTCCTTTGACCTACTGTCCGTCACAGTGGTAGGAGGTCTGGGTCGCTTCCCGCTAGGGGCGAGAGCCGCGCCGGGAGAGCGAGGTGACGGTTTAGGTGAGGCTCCGGGGTTTTCTTCTCCCTCGCCGCGCCGTGCGGCTCCGAGAGGTAGAGGCGGTGGTTGGTAGACACGCTGCTGAGGTCCTCCGTAGCCGGCGTACTGCCAGGGAATCTTCAGCTGCTGAGCCATCTCTCCGAGTAGTCAGAAGTGGTGGCTACGTGCTGCGCGTTATTTAGAAAACGTAGCTACTGCTTTTGCAGTATATTATAGCTCCGTGGAGATAGAGAAGACGATTTACTGCGAAGAGAGGGAGGAGGAAAGTGTAGCGAACCCACTATTTCTGTTCCTTTGGATCTCCGCTTTGCTTTGGAAGTCTTTCTTCTATCCAGTCTGTCCGCAATCCTGCTGTTTGGCGCGCGGGTAGTTTCCATGGCAACCACACATGAGCGCATGCGCAGTAGGTACAGCAACTTCAGCAGCGCGTGTATACATGAGTGTACATGTGTATTGTAAAAAGGTGTGTATAACAATTATTGTGCCAAAGTTGAGCCTTTTTCTACTAACAATTATATAGAGTGAAAGACAGTACGCAGCTACTTGACGTACAACTCAACCAGTTCCACTGCTATGTTGTCCTGTGCTATGGGGTCATAGAGACACATTCTCAGCTCAAGATCATCGTTAGTTGTCTGGTTGAGGGTTTTGGTGAAATATGGAGGATTGTGGAAAGAGCAACATGTACTGGTGGAGTGACAGTCTTCACCATCCCAGAGAGTGTCATTGGAGGGGAAGCTGTTAGCTGGTACACCACTGCCACGTACATACCCTGACTCACAGAAGTAATCTTCTCCGACAAATGGTGGGATCGATGTAACAGCACTAGTGTCACATGGGCACTGGTTGCCCTGGGATAGTGACCTATTCTCAAATGCTCCATTAGCAAATGTCCAGATGTGTTGTGGAGGAGTGCCATGCATTACAGCCACACCACAGACATAGGCACTGTCAATTGTAGTTTGTCCACCATACTTATACCCCCAGAAGGCATCAGGCAGTCCATACTGGTAGGCTCTGATCCTGCCACACACCTGACTGTATGGTCCTCCACTGACAGGGAAGAAGACTGAGTCACAAGTCCCAGATCCAGTACCAACTCTGCCACAAGTTCTCTTGGAGTATCCAGTCAGCTGCCAGCCAGAGGGACAGTTGGTGTTGGGGACTGTCATATCCAGGTAGACTGCACGTCTCCAGTTTGCAGTACCTCCGCATGCATAACGGACACTGTTATTAACGATCTGTTCTGTCAGGCTCTGGTTCATTCTCATCAGTTCAGTAGTGATTTGATTGTCATTTTCTTGTCACATATCGTGTTGGCTGTGTTTCTGTGTGTCTGCAATATTATTTCTGGCAAAGAATTGTGATTGTCATCTTTGACATACATCTCGACTAACTCAAGAGCAATGGCTCCGTCTGTGTGATAATTACACGTTCAAGGTCATCGTTAGTTGTCTGGCTGAGGGTTTTGGTGAAATATGGAGGATTGTGGAGAGAGCAACATGTACTGGTAGAGTGACAGTCTTCACCATCCCAAAGAGTGTCATTGGAGTGGAGTCTGTACTCTGCAGTACTATGTCGGTACCCAGGATATACATACCCTGACTCACAGAAGTAATCTTCTCCAACAAATGGTGGGATAGATGATTGATTACCAGTAGTGTCACATGGACAGAGGTGGTCCCCAGGGGTCGCATTCTCAAAACCTCCAGCTGCAAATGTCCAAATATGTTGCCGAGGAATTCCATGCATTAAAGCCGCACCATCAAAGTAACGCTATCAACTGCAGTTTGTCTATGAAAGCTATACCCATGAAAGGCATCAGGCATCCATACTGGTAGGCTCTGATCCTGCCACACACCTGACTGTATGGTCCTCCACTGACAGGAAGAAGACTGAGTCACATGTTCTCTCTCCCAGTACTAACTTTGCACAAGTTCTCTTGGAGTATCCAGTCATATTCCAGCCAGAGGGACAGTTGGTGTTGGGGGTCTGTCATATCCAGGTAGACTGCACGTCTCCAACCCCATGTTCCTCCACATGTGTACCAGTATTTTGTTGGTGTTAGATTCTCCTTCATGTCCTTCAATCAGATTGATTGCAGCCTCATGTTTTTCAACCCACCTTCAAATCAGCTTAACATCACTTTAATCATCTCATTGATTCATTCAGAGAACTCAGTCTAGTTGTCAAGTTTCTCAACCTCTTGACTCAGGCTTGCCATGTCAGACTTCATACTTCTTCATGTCTTTCTCAATAGTCTCCAAACCTCGTCCTACAACTTCATACACAGCTGCAGCAATCTTACAACTGCAGCAAACACATCCAGTATTGTGAACGGCGAAATTGTGGTGACAGTATTATCTATTCCTTACCATCACATTGAGACTGTCCCAGCTGTACATTAGACAGTGTCACTAGACACAAGACCAGCAGAAACACCTGTCCATCTCTCAGAGGCGTTCAGGCTCACCTGCAATACATGCACCACTACAGCCAACTACTATATATTATGTACAAGATCACCTGGCTAAACAGTTACATACAGAGGTAAGATAAGAACCACATTTGGTTGCACTATAACAATCATCCCATGTTGATAAAACCACCCTCCATACCAACTTGCATAACCACTACAGCCAAGCTAACATTATATGTACAAGATCACCCTGGCTACAATAACAGAGGGAGCTAAAGAACCACCACTTAGGTGCACTTACCAATCGTCTCCATGCGGATATAAACCACCCTCCCTACCAGCTTGCATAACATATTTTGGGAAGATATAGTAGCCTCAACATTCACTATCATCTTCCTCTTGTTCGCCATTCATATCAACCAATGTTCGCTTGACTCCGAATCTTCCCACATCGTGAATATCGTTAAGTGATGTTTCACCTATCTTGCCACACCCACTGACCTTTGGCCTCACTGGTGTGGAATCATTTCTCAGATTTTCCACTTTTCTATCTGAAAAATTGTCCTCATTTAGATCTTTATCTTCTCCCAACTCCACATTTGTTAGATTGTTTGGATTTTCGAGTGGGGAAGTAGAATTCTGATCATCAGACCTCGTGCTAGTGGGTGTGGCTACAGGTTGTTGTCTGGTGGGGAGGGAGGTGACGGTGTGAGGAGGAGAAGGGAGGGAGGGTGTGCTCGATGATCGCAGTGGGGAGGTGGAGGAAGGGAGAGGAGAAGGGGAGAGGGAAGAGCAGCGAGGAATGGCGGAGTTAGACGACGATGAGGAAGAAGAGGGAAGACTCGATGCGGTAAAGTGAGCTTCAGTTGGAGAAATGTGAGAATTCAACGAGCTTGATCTTGATACCATTACATCATTCATGGACGGTATGACATCATTTTTCCTCTCATTCATGGGCTGCGCGCACAGCCGTAGCTCCCGGAGCGAGACACGGACTGTGGAGAGCGGTTGCTGGCGGGTTGGAGCCTGCAATAGAGGCGGCTCTAATGGAGAGAGAGGGAGCTTCTTGTCAGTGTCGCTGCAAAACGACCGTTAGTTCCATATTTTAAAAGTCAGACGATTTTCGTTATTTTCAAACACGCGCCGTAAAAGCTATGCGCATGTGCACACGAAACTAAATTCGCACACAGACAGACTGCTAGTTTACATAACTAACTAAGCAACCATGATTTTCAGTCATTGGTATCCTACTTTACGTACAATTCAACCAGTTCCACTGCCATGTTCTCAGTATTTATCCCATAAAATGAACACATTCTCAGCTCAAGGTCATCGTTAGTTGTCTGGTTGAGGGTTTTGGTGAAATATGGAGGATTGTGGAAAGAACAACATGTACTGGTGGAGTGACAGTCTTCACCATCCCAGAGAGTGTCATTGGAGTGGAAGCTGTTAGCTGGTACACCACTGCCATATACATACCCAGACTCACAGAAGTAATCTTCTCCAACAAATGGTGGGATTGGTATAATACCACTCATGTCACATGGACAGTGATAGGTTGCTGTTGGTTGTACACCATTCTCCCATGGTTCAGCTGCAAATGTCCAGATGTGTTGTCGAGGACTGCCATGCATTACAGCCACACCATCGACATAGGGACTGTCAACTGTAGTTTGTCCACCGCTGTTATACCCATAGAAGGCATGCGGCACTCCCCACTGGTAGGCTCTGATCCTGCCACACACCTGACTGTATGGTCCTCCACTGACAGGGAAGAAGACTGAGTCACAAGTCATAGATCCAGTACTAAATCTGCCACATGTTCTCTTGGAGTATCCAGTGAGCTGCCAGCCAGAGGGACAGTTGGTGTTGGGGTCTGTCATATCCAGGTAGACGGCACGTCTCCAGCCAACACCTCCACAACCACTAATTTGTTGTGTTAGATTTTCCTTCATGTCCTTTAAATCATATTTGATTGCAGTCTCGTGTTTTTCAATTTTGTCACACATTGCAGTGGTTGTGTTACTGACACCATTTAACTCAGTCTTGACATCATCGAAATCATCTCTCATTGATTCATTCAGAGAACTCAGTCTAGTGTCAAGTTTCTCAACCTCTTGACTGAGGCTTGCCATGTCAGACTTCATATTCTTCATGTCTTTCTGCATAGTCTCCAAAGCTGGTCCTACAACTTCATGCACAGCTGCAGCAATCCTTACAACTGCAGCAAACACATCCAGTATTGTGAATGTCGAAATTGTGGTGCCAAGTATTATCTATTCCCTTACCATCACATTGAGACTGTCCCAGCTCTACATTAGACAGTGTCACTAGACACAAGACCAGCAGAAAGGACCTGTCCATCTCAGAAGGCATTCAGGCTCCCTGCAATGCATGCACCACTACAGCCAAGCTAACTATATATATGTACAAGATAACCCTGGCTAAACAGTTACAATAACAGGTAAGCTAAAGAACCACATTTGGTCGCACTATACAATCGTCCCATGCTGATAAAACCACCCTCCCAATACCAGCTTGCATAACTTGGGGAAGTTTAGAAGATACACAGAAATAACTACAGACGCCTTTGAACAAACTTATGCAGCTTTCTCTGAGGTTGAAAGACTGATGAAATGTATAATACAATCATCAGGGAGAGCTGTATGAGTTTTCAGTCAACTGATGATGTGTGACAGTGTTATCATGAGGGTTAGCAGCGAGGGAGGGAGGAGAAGGAGGAGGGAGGTTTAAATAGGTGAGACACTCTGTAATGGCGTGAGCAGCTTCTCTGTCAGACAGAGCCACTTCACTGAGTCTGTGTTCATGTCTCCTTATCTGACTGTTGGAGAGAGGGAGTGAGGGTAATGAAGTAAGAGAGGGATTATACATGTATATAGAACATGTGGGTGTTGGATAAAATGTACTAAAAGAGGAAGAAACAAAGCAGGTGAGAGGTGTTGTATACCAGTGAGTGGATGGAGCCATTCGACACAGGTTTCTGAGAACCAGAGCAGCTGTCACACGAACTGCCTTTGTCAGAGGAGATTCCACTTCATTCTGGAGCCAAAGAAAACCTTCCTTACTCCTCCTCTCCCCCCCTCTCTCTCTCTCTCTCACCTCAAGAGGAGGACAATGTTTCAGTTTTGCGAGAGTGACTGCCACAGAGGGTGGAATGGGCTTGGGACCTGGACTACAATGATGGGTCTGCATGGAGAATAAATGTCATAAACTTACTGGCTAACTATAGGGTAAAAGTGGGCACTATCTAGAATGGTGGCCAATATGGACAGATGCTAAGTGGGCATTATTTAGAAAGGCAAAGTGGGCATTATTTGGAACTCCACCTCCAGATGTCGTATGAGGGAGGGTTTCATTCTCAGTGGGGTGGTGTTGCAGCCGGCCCAGTGGCAGGGAGACGGGGAGAGGGAGGAGAGAGGAGAGATGTGGCAGTTGACAGCATGGTGCAACAGGTCACACCAGGAGTACCGCATACTGTGGGAGGGGTTAGAACAAACCTCTATAAAGGACACTA